TATGGTGAATATGTGTGACATATAGGACTCCTATTTCTTTGTACCTGAAGAAGATGCTACATAATTTGTTTTTCTTCTGCTTGTCTCAGAAGGGGAGAAAATTCTTCCTTGCACAAAATACATTTTGTTCATTTGACATGTTAGGATATGATTTTATTGTATTGATTTTTAAATACCATTACAAGTCACTAAACAAGACTCAGGCAGAAAAGCTGAGAGGCAGTGATTATGAAGCAATAAATGTGAGCTCTGGCATTGACTCTAATTTTTTAAATGTATATTTGAATTAATCATATAATCTTTTGGTTTTCTCACTTAACAAATATTGGAGTTGAAGTACAGGATCTTCTGGTTTCTTCTGAGACTAAAATTCTCATCCTGTGTTTCACTGAGGTCAATAGCAATAGTAATTACTATTAGTAACTTTCTTCAGTGTAATAGTAATTTTTTTTCTATTACTCATTTCTGGGCTTTTTACCTGAGATTTTGATTACTAAGGAAACAAATGTTTTAAGAAAATTAAAGAAGTTACTAACATTAGAAAAGTGGTGATTTCACTGAACAAGCTGTGGCTGTGTAATACATTTTTGTGTATACAGAATAGTCTCTTTGGAAGCAGCTTGTGTGCCTATATTCGCTGTGGTTATATTTGATTTTGATTTCTACGATAAATTTCTGTTTCTTACTAACAGGTTATGGGTGAGTAAATGAGGACTGGCCAATCACTTTAGTTTACAAAGCATATTGCTAGGGTCAAAACACAGACTTGGTCACGGTCTAAATGCTTTTAACTTAGTTTCAAGCCTGAGCAAGTTGTGTCCTCTGGGGTAAAGGTTGGCTAGAAAGGAAATCATGTTTTTTGATTTTGTATGATGAATCTTCACAACCAAAGGCTAATAGAAATTATGTGTAATTCTGGGGTCAGTTGGGGGGAAATAGGGGAGGGACGGAGGGGGGTGGGGAGCTGGGGAGGGATAGCAGGGGGAGAAATGCCAGATGTAGGTGATGGGGAGGAAGGCAGCAAATCACACTGCCACGTGTGTTCCTATGCAACAATTTTGCATGTTCTTCACATGTACCCCAAAACCTAAAATACAATAAAATAAATAAATGGGGAAAAAAAAAGAAATTATGTGTAATTGCCTTTCATTTGTTCTTAACAGAGGTCATGAATTTCAAACTTACTGGATTTAAGCATTCAGTGATTCACCTTTAAATCATTTCTCTTTTTTGTGTCCTTTTTTTTTTTTTTACAGGATGTTTTCACTCCAGAATGCAAATTTAAGGAATCTGTGTTTGAAAACTACTATGTGATCTATTCTTCCACACTATACCGCCAGCAAGAATCAGGCCGAGCATGGTTTCTGGGACTCAATAAAGAAGGTCAAATTATGAAGGGAAACAGAGTGAAGAAAACCAAGCCCTCATCACATTTTGTACCGAAACCTATTGAAGGTATGAAACCAACTTACTGTCTTTGTTGAACTCTTATCTGCTTGTTGATATCAATTCTGCTCCTTGCCCTTTTGCTCCAGAGGGTTTGCCTGGGATGCAACGGATCAGAAGAAAGATTCAAAACAAATATTCAGAAAACACAATAGTATCTCTTTCCTTTTCTTTTTTTTTTTCTCTTTTCTTTTCTTTGAGATGGAGCCTTGCCCTGTCACCCAGGCTGGAATGCAATGGTGCGATCTCAGCTCACTGCAACTTCCACCTCCCAGGTTCAAGCGATTCTCCTGCCTCAGCCTCCTGAGTAGCTGGAAATCTCTTCCTATTAAAAAAAAAGAATAAAAATAGGAAAATTCTATTACAGATACTTGGTACTTAAAAAAATGCCTGACTTTTAGAAGGTGGAAAAATTTTGAAAGTAGAAAAGGAGTTGTAGTTTCTATCTAGTATGTAATTTTCTCCTTTTTTAAACCTAATAATTTAATTTATCAAGATATACCCTTGAAAAACCAGTAATACTTTTATATTTATGGTATTACATTGTATCCTTCTCAGGTTATCCTATAACCTTTTCTCTCATCATCATTTAATACTCTGTTCATTTATTTCAAATTGACCATTAGACTATAATTTATATATATATATTTTATAGTCTAATGGTCATTCTTTATAGTATAGTCTAATGGTCATTCTTTTCTATATTATATATATATATTTTTTTCCCCTGAGGAAACCAATTTTTGGCATCTAGGCTATGTTTTCTCAGAAGTTCCTTAACTAGGATGACAGTATATCATTTGGGCAACCACATTTCTTGAATTCAGCCAAGCTTTCTACTACAGGCTAAGTAAGTTTATTTCTCCTCTGAAGGTCACATTATAATCACTTTAAACATTGGCTCAGCATCTTTGTCTGAGTAAATGAGAAAATTGAGGCAGTGCATTGCAATTCTGTGACTTAGTCAAGCTTACTGTCCACTGAATATCCCACATGGCATGATCAGTCAACCAGTGTACACAGTGTGTGCTGTGTAGTACATAGCACTGTGACTGCAAACATTTAAGTCAACACTGTGTTCCTATGTTCCAAGCACTGGATAAAATGTGGTATTCAAAGTGCCTAGCCCCTCTCAGGTCTCTCTTTACATGCTGTGCCTTTAGCACATGAAATGAACTTTTCTTTCCTGCAGTATATTTTCATTCTTATTGGCCTCATGTTGTTCATCATCCCCGCTCTTTCAGATTTCATCCACTTACCTCATCTGCCTGGAAAAAATGCCTATTAGTCTTTGTAAAAAAATAATTCAAGAGTCAATACTTCTATGATGCCCTTCCCGACTTTCTTCAAATAGAGTTAAACATTCCATCACCTTGTCATTATATACATTTCTCTCCCATAGAAATTATGGCATTAAATTTGCCTGTTGCCTCTCTGTCTGCTCTTACTCATGGTTAGCTCACTTTTTTTTTCTTGTTTTTTTTTTTTTTGTTTTTAAGATGGAGTTTTGATCTTGTTGCTCAGGCTATAGTGCAATGGCGTAATCTCGGCTCACTGCAACCTTCGCCTCCCAGTTTCAAACGATTCTCTTGCCTCACCCTACCGAGTAGCTGAGATTACAGGCATGCGCCACCATGCCCGGCTAATTTTGTATTTTTAGTAGAGATTGGGTTTCTCCATGTTGGTAGGGCTGGTCTTGAACTCTCAACCTCAGGTGATCTGTCCACCTCAGCCTCCCAAAGTGCTGAGATTACAGGCATGAGCCACCATGCCCAACCACCATGCACGGCTCACTCTTTGAATAAACAGAACATGTTTTATTTTTCTTCATATCTCCCTGTGTTTTCTATAATAACTGGCATATCATAGACAGATATTTGACAATCAGTTGTCCAGTAAGTGAACATGTGAATGAATTAATGAATAGAAAAGTATGAAGACAAGGAAGAATATATATGCTAGAGAACTTTATGATATTTTTAGAGGTTTACTCAGAGCAATAGTAAAATGTAAAAAGTGTTGCATTACATACTGCAGGATTTATACTGAGACTTAAAGACAAAAAGCTATTATTCCGCAAAATGTAAGATATCATTGAGAAGCTAAAATTTAAACTCACCTTCAGGGCTAGGCCAGGTTCCTGCAATTTGACATGAGAGGTGGGAATTAGGCAGACAAAAACATTCCAGGTGCAGTATGAATGAAGGAAGGAAAGGTTAAGCAAAGGGTAACTGAGAAGTAAATAGTATTTTCACAGGGAAATATATGGATTCTCAAAAATGAAATGTTTGATGAATTATGCTCTTGGTTATTGCATCATTTTAATTTGTGCATTTACATTGATTTTCTTTCTGTTATAAACGTAGTGCAAGGTCATTAACAATTTTTGGAAAATTTAGGAAAGTATAAGGAAAATAAATCCATGTGTTTTGTTTATCCCCTTTATGGATAATGCCCTTTATATTGAATTCCACTCTCCTGACCCCACTTAAAAATACACGTATAACTTATCCTCCTAATTTGAGCTGCTATCTGTACTTTGGTTAGCCAAGTTTCCTCTTGGGTCTGGATGATCGTGTACATGTACAACTGGACATTCCTATCTGTATGGGTTAGAATTAAGGTTGTCTTCACACAACACTAACCCATGTGAGCTTAATCACATAAAGTTTTATTCTCTCACAAAACAAATCTAGAGACCAGTTATCCAAGCTGCTACTGTACTTTCCCAATTGGTAGGGGCCTTGGCTGTACCCAGCATTTAGTACCTTTCTCCCCAGTGTGTTGCCGTGGGTCATTTACAGCTGTGCATTGCACCATGAACACAACCACACACACTAGCCCTGAATCTGCCCTTCTGCCCATGATCCAACCAGTATCTTATTCCAGCCAAATGGCAGAGGAGAGATGAAGAATACAGAAGGAAGACCCAGGGCCAGTTTTCTTTTCAAGTTGTCCCTGGTAACTGCCATATGATACTTATCCCACTGCCACAACCTAGTCAGGTGGTCACACTTAGGTGTAGAGAAGCTAAGAATGTCATTTTTTTTTTTTGATAGCCATATACCAAATAAATGTTCTGTGACTGGGGATAATGCGTGAATGGGTATTGAGACTAAAAACTCTGCTTCAGACTTACAGCCTCCTAACTTTAGAATATCTCTGATTTCCTGATTTTCTGATTGACATCTTTTGGTAGATTATCTTGGTTTTACTTTATGTTATTGAGTAATCCTTTAGAATTATTTTCTTTTTGTCCTGGGGAAAAAAATCCATTCTAAATCAGACTCACTAATACCTCAATTCACTTTCAAGGATTTTTGTCTCTCTAGGTGTGAAGTGTATAGAATATGATAATAACCACTTCCAAAAATGAAAACAAAAACTTAATTGGTTTTAGATCAAATACCTTTTCATTCCCTATAAATGTCTTCACCTTTTGCCTTAGAGAACTAACTTTATTGAACAGTCTTAGGTAACACTTTTATAAATGCTTACTCTGTGCAGGTGCTATTCTAAGCATGTCTCAATTTCTGTCTCATACTTTTCATTTCGTTTGTATGAAGTAGGTTCCAGTATTATCCCCATTTACAAACGTGAAAAATGAAACACAGAGCTATCGAGTAATTTGTCCTAAATCATGCAGCTCTCAATTGGCAAAGCCAGAATTGAAACCAAAGCACTTTGACTTGAAGCAGTTCTTAAACCCCATTTAAAACTGGTAAGATAGCCTACGGTCTGAGATCGAAAAAGACGTAGATGTAACTTTAACATAGTGGACCCTAGTAAATGATCTTGAATAAATGTCTCCTAATTGCTTTTCTTTTTAAAGATCTGCAATATATCCCTAACCCTTAGAAATAAAAGTTCTTGCAAATTAATGGAGATCATCACGCTCTTATAACTTACACGAAACACATGGAATTGGATGGTTCTTTTCTGCCTCCTATGTGCTTTTATGTCATTATAATACAGAAAATGTGAACAATTCCCTGAAGATTCTCCATGTAGTTATACAGTATATCATTAAATGATTTTGACAGGTCACCATTATTATCAAAGATATGTACACTTGAGGTTGTATTAGGCATTATTCTACTGGGCATTAAAACCTTTTCCTACCTAAATTATTTTTGCTGTCACCGTTACTGCTATTAATTGTCTTACTATTTCTGTATGCAGTTTATTAATTTACAATTTGCTAGTCAGGTTGCATATGTTATCTCAAGCTTCACAATTGTTCTATATTTTTATCCTCATTTTACAGATGAGGAAACTTACATTTACAGTAATTGAGTAACCAGTCCAAGACCACAGGGCTAGATAAATACGGAACGGGGATTGCAATCCAGAAACCCTAATATCAATGCCTATGCACGTAACCCCCGCACTGCATTGCCCTTCAATCTGAAGTAAGCCTGTGAATATGCAAATACTCAGAAAATTCAGTGATAGCAAAGCAGAAATATTATACTATGAAGCAATTTGAATAGTAAATGAGTTATCAACCTTGCAAAATTGAGACAGGTATAGATGATATGATGAGAAATACTCATATTGGTAAGCAATCAGATAAAACAGTTAATGGAATGGCATATTCAAGCTAGGCAAGAAAGAATTAAAAGTACACCACTTCTATTCTGGTGAATTCTAACAGGTTTTATTTCCAACTCAGTAAAAAAATTGGACCAGATGATTCCTAAAGTTCTTTGGCAATGACATTGTATGTCAGTCTTTATAAGCCAATTACTGTAAAACCACGTTCCTTCATAGAACCTAGCATAGAATTTACATATAAAAATGGTCTAAACATATTTTCTTTATTTAATTATTGAATAAATAAATTACAGCTTTATGAGCTATTTCCATCATTTGTGATTTTTTTCAGATGAGGGGATAGAATGAAAGCCATCCTAGCCATAAGTCTTATCTTTAAATAGATTTTAGGCCAGACACGGTGGCTCACACCTGTAATCCCAGCAATTTGGGAAGTTGAGGTGGGTGAATCA